AGAAGGCCATGTAGTCGTGGAAAGTCCGCAGTCGCAATTTCCCGAGCCACTGCCTTTAACCGTTTTTCTTTCCTTTTTGCTTTTGATTTGACGCTCCCTATTTTCATTTTTATTAATTTCATCAGATGTTCTTTAGGCTATGCATTGATGGACAATGGAAGATTGTCTTAGTAGATGACTATTTTCCTTGCCGTATGGAGACAAGATCAACAGCTTTTGCAGACGGCAGGAAAAACCAGGTTTTTTTACAATCCGTTGCGTTCGCTGCTTGTACCAAGTGTGTCGAATTTGATTCTTACAGCTGTGGGTACCATTGATTGAAAAAGCACTTGCCAAACAACTCGGAAGTTATTCTCGACTTCTTGCTGGTAGGACCATCGAGGGATTGGCAACCCTGACAGGTGAGCTGTCGCTCTAGTCATCTGACTACGGAAAATGGCGATTTTAGGAGCTCCTGTTGAGGTTATTTCCCTCGAAGATGATATGGACCCAGATATTCGATGGGCTAGGATTTTAAGCGCCAGGTAGTGTATTGGTCCCCCAACGCCAGACTTAATGAACCATTATTTCCAGAGAGGCAGGGTTTATCATGGGTTGCAGTTGTGGAGCTGGTAAAAGGCCTGTTAACGATGAACTGTTTCGAAGGCGTGGTCTACTTTCGAAACACGCTTATTCCATTTTAGACGTGGTGCAAGAAGGCGAGCATAGGTCAGTTTTTCGCTCTTATGCCGATTTTCCCTGAATCAAGCGCGTCTTAGGTTGCTGAAGCTTCGCAATCCATGGGGAACATTTGTATGGAAAGGAAAATGGAGCCAAAATTGGCCTGGATGGCCAAAAGGTAAGTTCTTTTCGAAGCCCAATATTACTTATCGTTTTGAACAGTTATTTCGCTATTCTTTCCTAAAGGCACTGTCCCCTCAAAAATTCGTTTTTCGGTTTCTCGGCTTTTCGGAGCCTTTTTGCTATGCTAAAACCATATCTGGGCGCTTTTCAGCGCACGAGAATTGCAAAAGTGACTTTTTTTGAAGCTTTCTGAATCAGCGGCCACTCCAAATTACATGTAAGAAGTGGGCGGGGTCTGGAACTGGGCGGGGGTCCGGAAGACTTGCGGAGCGGATTTTGGGCTTTCTAGAAGTAGATTAGCTGGGGGGTCCGCCATCAAAAGGTTATAAGATTCAAGTGCTCGCCACTTTGAGGGGACGCTGCCTTCGACACTAGAACATTTTTTTTGAAATTCGTAGTCCGCTTTGTCCCTGGCCACGCCTCTTTTTGCCTCTGCCTCATACCTCCCACAAATCACACACAGTTGGGGTTCGTGTATATGGTGGTACCGCGTTAAGATATAAGCTCCAATTTAGATCTGAAACGTAAGCTGTGTTCTGGAGAACCTTCTACTGGAACATTTTGGATAGGCTATGATGATTTTGTTGCACATTTTGACTCAGGTACATTGCTCTTGTTGCTTAGCATCGCATTAATTCTTCTGTTCAAATTTGATCTTTGCAGTTGATATCGCTAAGCTTAGGATATATCAAGGTTGGGCTGAACTGCGCATACCAATTCAGATGGGTGGAGCGTTCTCAAACGCTGACAAGTGAGTTTCTGTTGCTCATACTTCAAAATCACATGAGTATGACTCTTGTATCGTTATTTTCGCTTTTCATAAACAGTGATAGTTTTTTGTGCAATGAGAACGACTAGAAGATCAAATATTTTTCATTTGATAATCTTAATACAGGGTATCTCAAAAAAATGTGCCTACGGGTTGATTGCTAATAACTACCTAATGAAGTCTTTCGAGAAGCTTTATACCATTTTGTAGAGCTGGCTTCAACTTTGATTCAGTATACAGCGAATCACCGATCGCTCTTCATTGATGTAGGATTACGGTAGAAACTTTGAGCATATGGTGTCACTGTGCAATAGGCCGTTTCCAAAAAATCTGAAATTGTGAAACGAGGTTTTTAGGTATGCTAATCTAACTACATAACTTTTCGCGAGTTCGCAGAGCTTTTCTAATGGCGTAGTCAAATTTTAACGAATATTAGAAATCAGTTGTTACGTTTACCTGGCATAACTCAAGAGAAAAACTTTACAGTAAAATACGATATATTTGAGATCAAACTCTGATTTAACTAGTATAGGATTTTCCTTTTAGATTCACAATAAAACCCTCAATGGCACAAAATCCTCCTCGAAGTTCCTACCGTAATCCTACAGTAA